TAATAATGGAGTGTGATTTATTTTCAACTCAAATGACTGCTGGTAAAATATACGACAGGTCTGGACCACTCGTGAATTTTGTTCGTATCTGAAAAAAATCGTAGAATACGAAAACATTGGTGAATGTCACAAATTCTCCTAAATCACTCGTACGCACAACTTAAGAACAAATCTGTGCGTACCAACGGTTCTTGCATGAGGCCCAGTGTGTTTAAAATTATTACCTTGATTACCTTATTTTCTAAATATCATAAAGTTTATGTTTACGCCTTATGAACGTGCGTAATATTTCCCTGTACATGTACCAGTGAAATACTGACGCTAAGCAAAGCATTCACCAGCCAAGCTGACATAATGACATGGGGCATAGAAATGTTCATTTTTAGTGCTAATAATGTTTAAATATATAAACTAAATTAGCAGAAAAAAGGATCTTCATGGGTTGTAAATTTTCACTTCCTGTTTTTTCCCTTCCCTATCTGCTCTGGTTTCAGTCAGCGGTTGTAGCTCCGCCTCCTGGGATATGATCTATTTTCTCAAGTTTTACCTCTAAAAGACACTAATGTTTGTGATCTATTATGTTGACTCACACTGTCAAATTAGTTTAACATCTGTGTTGAAGTTTAGTTATTGAGTGTAAATCTGACAGACTGTGATTGACAGGTCTGGACAAGGAGAATGGAAAGTGGAACTAAACACTGGCTAGAGGGCAGCGTGCACAAACTAATTAATCCAAGTACAAGAATGCAACAGCATTCTGCACTGAATATCACATTCACTGATTATTAATAGATTATTATGACCCCCGCAGGCGAAGCGTAAGGGGGAGTCATATTGTTTTCGTACTGTTTATTTATTTATTTTTTCATTGATTTTTGGTCAACCGTAGCACAAAAACGGCTGCACTGATCAACATGAAGTTTGGCAGGACTGTAGATGAGTCTGACCTACACTGCGCCAGCCAACGGTTTTACGATAGACCCCATATTTGAGGAGGGGGCTCCATCCAAACTGGGTGTGTCTGAACATGCAAAAATGTTTATAACTCAGAAACTGTTCAACATAAGAAGCTTCAGATTTCTTTTGTTGTTTAGCTCTGATGAAGCTCTATCCATCAGGCCCACCAATCAGTGCCCCCCCCACCCCCAAAAAATAAAATAAAAAAAGACCCCCACCAAAACCACTACAATTTTGGGATGCATCTAGTAGCATGACATTTATTATGAATAAAGTCTTCTAAGTTCTGGTGCATTTGTGCGTGCGGGGGTCATTATGTTACCGCTATGTGGTCTCTAGTTATTTCATTTGTTAAAAGTTAAAAGTTTGAACTTGTTTTTATTACCTTATTTACACTTACCTATATAGAGCACTCTGTCTGTGACCATGTACTTAGCATGGTTCACACGGGCAAAAGGGATTTTCTCTTGCTCCTCAGTTGAAGGCACTGTGAAAATTTTCTACACACACACACACACACACACACACACACACACACACACACACACAC